TCAAAAACACCTACTTTCAGGACTACTGCATGCTCGCCACAAAATCTTGATCCATTCCGTTCAGAAACAGGTCCCTATGATTTGGGGTCCTCTTGTCTAGGCCCTCCCTCAGAGGGTCCGCGTAAACGACGGCGGACTGCCCTCGCCTGCTTGACTGGCCAAGAGTCTCAAGATTACGTCCACATACGAAACGAGATGATGTAGGAATAATGATCATGCTGCGCCTTTTGATGCTGCGCATCAGAACAGCAAGCATCATCGCAGCACTACTTTGAGTAATGACTGCACCCTTTTTGCTCGAGCCCCCTGAGCCCCCCACGATTTAGTTCCCATCCAACAGAAAACCTGTGACCCCACCAAGGCTGGGTTCACACGAAAAGCAAAAAAAGTGTAACCCAGCTAAAAGCCGCTTAAGTCCTCTCATGGTGTGCTCTTGGGTGACTACATTCATGACTGGGCCACAATTGAATGTTCCTCAAGCCTCAGGATGCTCATCGTAAACAATGAGGATGCATAGCTTCGCAACCGCAAGCCCAGTAACCACGCCGCCGTTTCTTGCCATCTCGGTTTAAGAATGACTCCTCTTTCTTGGCACACGACTGCGCAACCGTCCGAGACTCAGCCTCTACTGTCTGAAAAGCAGAAGCGGAACTTTACATATCTGTGCTCTGAAGCTGCAATCCGGAAACCTCCACACAGAACGCCCTTTATGATCGAAATGGAAACCCCAAGGAATGTGGAGGCAAGCTGACCTGGGTCCTCACCGACGCTTTAGGATCTCGAAGACTAGTTCCACGTTGGATCGGCCCATTTCCTGCACATACTTCGCTTGCAAATAGAACGCTCAACTGTAGGACTTGAACTTCTGGCGTCTGGCTTGGCTTTGGCATAACTGCCCAACTCAGAATCCTAACCTTGTACCTCTACGCCGAGGGTCATGAAACTGGCAAGAAACAAGACTCACAGGTCCCATTTGTAGACCTTTCTCCCAGACATCAAAATGACCAACATCCAGCATGTAGGGGCTTCTAGGCCGAGCCGCAGAGAGCCGCTGTTTTTTAAGGTCACGCGACATGCCTTCTGTGGCGGAAGTGTAAGTAAATACGGATCCATTTTCCACATCGTTTTGCAACTCAGGGACTACACGGAGCAAAGCAGGCCTTGATCCTACACTGTGGAGGCTGCACTGGCCTTACGTAGAAATTTCTCGGGGCTTCTTCAGAGTTTTGATGAAGTTTCCAGACACGAAGCAACTTAGGCCAAAAGAGGATTGGGGGCAGGTACCCGAATCCGAGCTGTATATCCCCCATGTAAAGCCTACGCTGCTCCTACATAATTCTTTGAGAATTACTGTGGGACCAAACCCTTTTTTGCCCGGAACAAGCCAGCCTCGAACGCCTGGGTCTTGGAAACAGCGTCGAAGTTCCTCAAAATGAAATCCATGCCTTGGCACGCGTTGGGTTTAGGCTTTAAGTGTTGAATGGTCCAGGGTTTGGTGTTCGCAAGCAATATAAGGATCCATTCAAGGTAGCACAATTAATGTATACGGATTTATAATTCCAATGAAGAAAATAAAGCAGATCATCTTGCTCTAGTTGTATCTTCGGGCCAGTTACCCTGTCCATGCAAATGGAAGCTCATGAGGCAATTTTCTGCGAGGGCCCTTGCTGCTCTTGCAATGCGGTGATTGCTCATTAGTGTCTTGTTCTGTCTCTCAATTTGGGGTCCTTTTTGCCCACGGCCTATACCCCTCCAGGACCCTTTCACAAATCTTTGCGAATCTTTTCTTTCTCAATGTCTTCTCAGGAGCCTGCCATCAGCCACTTGGAGATACGGGGTCGGGTACAACTTTAAGTTCACAAAGCCAAGCAAAATCATCCTGGGACCTCTGGGGCATGCCAGCATGGCCCTGTCGAAGCTGTATTGCCTTTCGGAGGATGTTGCCTGTCCTCTTCTGTACCTTCTAAGCAACCCTGCGAAACAAATTCCGGAACGGTGGCTTACTGTTGTAGGGAAGGAGTGAGTTCAGAGAAGTGTGGTTCCGCTTGTGACTGTGAGTTGGCATCGAAGGCGTCGCACATTGACCAATAGTGGTACATCTAGGCCATCACAAAAGCCGTACCTCTCACATGTTTCTAAACCTTAAAACCTAATCTGTCAATGTCCCCATATGTCCCACACACTCCCTTGCACCAGAGAAACAAGTCACCTCACCTGTCATCCAAACTTGCTGGGTCTGAGGCAGCTCTGCCGCAAGTCGTTTGCGATATGCATATTGGCGGCCTCCCCCCCCCAGAGTAGTCAGATTTGGTGTCTAGGCTTGTCTGACCACTGAGCATATCTTCTAGGGGTACCTGCAGTAAGGGTTGTGCATTTGGAGCTCACCAAAAGACCTTCTTATGGGAAAGAGCAATCCCCTTTTGCAGGTCTAGCGAATAGTTTCTTGGTCCGAGGTTGAAGGTTAAACGCAATGCAGGGAGCGACCTAGAGCTTGTACCGCATCTCAAAAATGGAGCCACCAAAAATGGTCATGACTCAATGGTGTCATTTTGGTATCCCTCCAAGGTACGTACAGCGCAACAGGGTCCACATAACTCTTGCGATTTCCTGTTTCGTTTGGCATGTCGCGGCGCTCATCGGAAGCAAACTTTGCTGAGTCCTAGGCACCTTTGCTAGATTGATTTTTGGGTTCTTAAGTTCATGGATCTCCAGTGGATGTTAGAGATCATACAGTAGCTTGAACGGAAAATGCAGGGGCTCAGGGCTCAAATATAGGAGGTCATCGAAGTTATGGGGCACCAATTGCATGATGAGCGCAATTTGATTTTTGAGCTGCATGGAACTAATTGATCTTACGCCAGCTTGTTCGGCAACTCTGTATTTCAAGATGTGGAATAGCAAGCGGAAAGAGCAGCACTTCATCTCAGTGCACACACGGCTGTCGTCTCAACGAAGTCATCAGCAACAAAAGTATTCCCTCTAAACCCGTTCAACATGCTCCTTCACTGGCGTAGCAAGTTCCGAGAGAGCAGCCGAAGCTGCTTGAACAAGCCCGAAGCACAGCCCTACAGGTAGACAGAAGTGAAGGGCCTGTAGAATCGTGGCCGCACTGTCGATATTGATTGAAACCAGGATTTTCTTCTCGCACAGCCTGTTCGAGCAGGAGAAACTGCTGTGAAAGTGGAGTGTATGAGTCTGTGGTCGAGGGTGCTTGTGGAAATCCCATGCTGACTTGAAACCCACTGCTGTTGCTAACTTGCCCTTTTCATGCTGCTGCGCAATGAAGCAGAACTAGACCATTTGCAGGATTCCACCAAGATTGTGCAGTGCAGCTTGAAATTACGTCCATGGGCCTCTTCAGGCGATCGATCCCAAATTGGTCCGCTGCTACGAAGAGGTCCATTGCCTTGGACACAAAGCAGTCCCCACTCACGCGTCCCCTCACGAAATATTCTGCAAAGGTCTTTGCGTAGCCTACATACGGAATATGCCGTTGGCTGGGATGGGTTCGGGTGGAGGTCTATGCTTGCATCCCTGGCATGACATGCAAAGCCCGTGATGGGTCTGAGGAAACGTAATGTCAGGTCCATATCCCAAGCACTTTCTTGCAGCCTGTAGTGCTGCAACCAATAGAACTGGGTAGCCGGGGCCCAGACAATGTCCATGGAGATTTCGAATTCGTCTGTGTACAAATACCTGGCAACAGGTTGGGCTTCAGGCAGGTTGAATACTGGCGCCAGCTTAAGGACTCCATTTCGATCTCATCAGGATGTCACCTATGACTCTCCCTGAATACAAGAGTTTATTAAGATCAGCAGCAAGCGGTGGACGCTCGCGTCTACGCGAAGACGCAAAAGCAAAAAGATAACATTGTGAATTCCTCAAACAAGCTCGGCTCAACCTCTACATAGCATCTTACTGCTCTCAATGTCCATGCAACAGAGCTATCAAGGATGAACAGTCTCACCAACTAGTGTACTAAACCTGCAGTGCTGTGTGAACGGCCTACTATTTTGAAGGAGCTTTGCTTTTCGGACCGGCCCCTTTAAGTCTTGCGTAAAAAGTCTTGGAACCTGAATGCCCAATCCCAAGCTAAGTATCCGCATCAACCCAGGACATCCGTCGGTTTTGTCATTATCCTCCTGCCCGCATCCCTGGATCCCCATGGTGCTGGCGACTTGCTGCAGCTCTAAGAGATTGTTAAAGGGAGCGTTGCATGCTTTCCTATGCCTCTGGAACTATCAATGTAAAAGGTCCCTTGTTAACAGGGTGTGACTTACTGGGGGTTAGTAAGGAATAAGGGAGTATATTACATAGGGATTGTGTAGGGATTATATTCCGCTTATTCCCTACTTACCGCCAGTAAGGTGAATATCATCGAAATTTTCCAATGACAATCAGCTCAGGGAATCCATTAAGTTGGGGCACTCCAGCAGGGCCAAGAACACCCGGTGCGAGACGTTGTTGATGGTGATGGTCTTCTGCTGCGCCTCCGATGCACCAAGAAACGGGGTCTGTAGAGCGGCGGATCAAAGTGTTTTATCTATATTGGAATCCATACATTTCAGGTAAGCTAGGCGCAAGGATCTGGGAATGTTGTCACACTTGCCAATCTAACGCTTCAAGACTTTGCGCGCATCAGAGATGCTTCTGCAGGGTTGGGTATGTGTAGGCTGCATCTCTGTAGGTCTTAGGTCATCTGAGGGCATCGGATTGAAATTCCCTTGACTTGAACGCCTGCCAGCATGAAGCCATGCATCCATACACCCTATTGACAGGTCTGCAATAGCATGCGGAGGCTTTTCTGCGAGCCAGAACTGCTAATGCCAAGGGCCAAAACTAAAAAACAACTCAACGTAAACTCTTGACCTTCAGGTCGCTTCCCTCATCTCCAAAGCTTCGATTGGGCCTTTTCCTTAAGTCGGGCAGCAAAGCGGTAGGAAGCCTTAGGAAGCGGTCTTATAGGAGCGCGCACTTCCAAGCCCGCACCTGTTTTTCATCTAAGCTGCCCTGGCCTCACGCATCTGCCCTTCGAACATAGCCCGGAAGTACGAGCAACGCATGCACAGAAGCTTGTGCGCATAGACCTGGCTATCTCTCACACTCTTCTCACTCAGCGCTCAAGGCATCACTGCGAGGGCTTGCAGAGATTCTCCTGCAGTCTTTTCTAGATTCCCATGTGAGGACCTTATTCTTTCTCAGGTCATGCTTGCACAAATGAGGAAGCTGTTTTTGCTTCATGTTGTGCAGACGCCGTGCGCCCTTTAAGCAGACTTTGAACCAGATATTACGCATCAATTCGTGATTTGACGGTTGAACAATGCAGTGCAATGATTGTGTTGGTTGCTCCCTAAAGGGATCTTGATGTTTCATACAAAGCGACTTGGGCTTCAGGCAAGGGGTTTGAGGCTAAGAACTGTGGGGTATTTGAGAAGCGTGGGCTAGAACATGGCTTGCGTGATGCGGAAGTAAGAATTCAAAGGAACACTCTCAACACCCAACCCTTCACGCACTGACCTCAAAATGCACATGCCTTCACCTTCACTCATCCTGCCTTCCTGGCGGGTAACCACTAACCTTCACAGACAGGCAATTCCCAAGGAGGCTACTTGATTACTTGTGTATTTTGGCATCCCACGCCCACATCCAGGCTGTCAACCTCAAAACAAACACCCTCACATTGAAATCCCGATCCCAAAAGAGCCGGCACTGCCGGTTTGCCCTCGACGAGGAAAGTGACATCAGACCTGTGAGGCTGACTCATTCAATGAGCCTGGATGCGCAGTAGATTGAAGCAAAGATTTCAATCGCGGGAGGCTTCAATTATGCGAAGTGTTGACCCGACGAGGCAAGCTGAGTATTCCACCACGGACTTCAGCTTGGGCTATGCTTGCCGACGTAGCTACGGGTCCGTAATAGCACGCTTCTGAAAGCCCTGAGCTGGCTATGTAGACTCCAATCAACGATGCCAAGGTCGGAATGGGGGTCCTTTGCAAATACCTCTCCATCCACTATGTATAGAGCCCACCGGGCCCGTGCTTTCGAGTGATCTCCGAGGCACGGACAGCTTCGCATCGTTGAGGAACTCGCGGAGATCGGCCACCTGATTGCTTCTGAGAATGCTTAGCTCATTTTTGGGTTCGGGGTATGATGTCGAAGGAGGGGTTAGGGGTGGATGGGCGGGAAGTGGGGCTTGGATCTGGAGAGAAGGGGTTTTGCGCTTGTGGGGCTTGGGCTTGGGATGCTGTATTAATACGTCCTCCCAACAACGAACGAGTCTTAATTGTCCGGGGTCGCCACCACTCCTAAGCACTAAACTTTAATCCCTAAACCCTGAAACTTTAACCCTGAACCCTGGAGCCTGAGCCCCAAACCTTAACCCCTAAACCTTAAACCCTTAATTCAACCCTACTTAAACCCTGAGCCGCTTCTCTGGCGTCTGTTCTCTCTGTTTCTTGTTTTTGTCTCTCTTTGGGTGTTTCCAGAACAGAGCACTGAATTATTCCGTCCCTCACTTGTTGTTAATCCGTTCAGACCAAGACCAAAGTTAGCTCTATTCCGTACCTTAATATTAGTATTGCGTTTAGGCCGAATTTAACTCTATTCCGATCCCCTTTACTAATCAGAAGTTGACATTACGGAGGATCAGCTTCTGCTTGCAGATTGGACTAGCTGTTTATGAGACGTTGATACAGGGTCGGAATGCTCGGTCAAAGCTTGCATGTGTGTTCTTTTTCAACGATAGCTACGAAGCCTCTGGTTCAACGTGATCTTGATCTCTACGGTCACTGATCAGCCAACCTCCGAACCCTGAACTAGCGTGCCTGAAAGGGAGTTCACAGGAGGGCTCACACAAGTCTGGAGGAAGGACCCCTTAGAAGTCCAACTCTCAATCCCCACCAGACTGAAACACTGAACTGTACTCCCTAGGCCTGCGCCCCCTCAACCTCCCCAACGACAAATAGGATGCACAGGATCTATGGTACGGAAGGCCCCTCCTGAGCCCGGGGCTAATGAGCTGCTTGGGATATCGATGTTGACTTCAGTGGCCAGCTTGAACCTTGCATGAAGGTTGTGTCTATTTGATGATACACACCTATTTGTATGCATCTGCGCACACACACACAAGTCTATCTATCCATCTACCTATGCTTCTATAATTTCATCTGTACATTGAGGGTGAATGAGAGAGAGAGAGAGAGAGCGAGAAGAAATGTGTGTTTACACATATATATATATGTATGTATGTGTACATGTATCTACATGTATATGCATATGTATACATACATGAAAATATGTATATATATATACATGTATATGTAAATGTCTATGTACATGTGAACCTTGCACGAGGGTTCAGGGTTGCTTCGAGCTTATTGGGGTTTCGGGGCTTTAGGTTGAAGGTGCAGGGTTTGGGCCTGCGGTTGAGGCTGTTCTGGGTCCAGGAATTCCGGGCTCGAAGAGTTCAGGGGCGGGTGCAGTCATCTTCACAACATGGTGGACTTCGACGAGGGGAAGCGGGGCAGTCTAAGACTTCATCAGTTACAACAACATCTTCATCAACAACCTCTGGTAGGAATATAGAGACGAACCCATCATGATCCCTATTGCTATCCGTTCTCCCATTGACCAGTAAGCCCTATATACTCCCCCTGCAGTCACTCTATGTCGTAAAACACAATCCTCCAGAATCCTCCAAAGTAGCCCTGCTGAGCTTCCCGGCTGCCAGAAGTCGTTGAGCCGCTGCTGACCGTCGTAGCCGCCAAAGACGTACAGCGAGTTGTTGTATCTGAGTTCTCCGACGATTCATTTCGCACAATGGGGCTTGGGGCCTCCGTCACTGATTCTCACTGCAGGGTTGGGGTTTGTGGCTTCGATATTAGACCCATGATCCTCGCTCATCTGGTGCTGCATTTGATTTATCCTACCACTCATTCTCATTCCAAAGCTTGTCTCTTGTTGGCTGAAAAGATTGCCAGTCGAACTTCTGTGGTTAGACAAGTTCCGAAGCGCAACCGAACAACTTGGTTGCATCCGCAAAAAACTGCTGAACAAACCCAATCCAGACACTATATTGACCATCCCCATGGTGAACCCCCTGTACTAGCATGCAGTCCTTATAATATTCTCTCCGAATATCTGCAGAATTGATGAGCATGCTATCCTTTTGCCAGGGGTTAGTGTAAAGCCTGGTGCACTGCACACCAGATGAGGGCCAGGCACGTCGCACGTATGACAGAATCCTCACCCACATGCTGCTGCGAGGGTGTGGCGGGACAAAGCTTCCCGTGGCGCGGATTCTAGAAGCACAGGGGTTGTTTGTGAGGGGTCCGCGCAACAAAAACTTTAAACAACATGTTTTGAGGCATGTATGGCAACCGCTCATCTCGAGAAATGCCGCGCTTGGAGATTCCGAGCTGTGCATTTTGATGCTGCAGGGTGACTATTGGCTTCTATAGCTTTGGACTCTTGCTGGTGCAAATGAAAACACTTCTGTGAATCTGACATACCACTGGCTGCATACCTCAACGTAGGTCAACAATCTCGTGTGAAATCAGTGATGTGAAGCAATGATATAAACTTCCGGATTTTGGTGATCATGTGGATATCATGGTTACTTACTCGTAAATGCGACTTCCGTGGCTCAAATCAAATTTGGAACAGTGCCTTTCAGATGCAAGAATGCCCTGTCAGGCACCTGTCCAATCTATAATTCCCTCGGCTCTACCGCCAACCTTCTCGACAAAAAACACTAAGAAGAAGTTGTGACTCAGTCCAGTCAAAGCCCATATCCTACCAGCATCATTCCTGCAACATGCGCACTCTCACTTGGGCTGCAGCTAGGGCAGGGCACATTGCTGTTTTTAGTGCCAGCAGGCGCTGAACGAACCTGCAACGCCAGCAATTTGCTCTGTGATTGCATTGGGGAAGCAACTGCGCTTTAAAAAAAAGACTGTTGAAGGCTAGTTGCAATCCTGATGCTGTCAAGTTACTTGGAACATAAAAACTTTCTAGAATGAGCCAGTCTGATTTAATATGGGAGAGAAGTGCTGCAATAGTTCTGCATCTCATCAGGGTTACTCCATACAGTTGCTGAGACACCTCTTGAGACTGTGAATTCCTATGCACCTTGGCATCCTGAAGACTGCCTTATGCAATTCGGATTTGCAGATTGAAAAGAGTTGCTTGGCAGTGAAGACACACTTCCCAGAGAAGTCTTCAGGGCGCTTTACACTGATAGGGTTACAAATGTGGTGCCCTTTATCCAAATAAGTATGGTCGTTACGCATCATGTCTGTACTTCCTCGGATTCTAGCACAAGCTATGGCAACCCAGGAACCTTCAAGCACTCCAGACGAGATGGGGGAACTTAGATACGTGGCCATGAGAGGCTCTGGCGCGCATCAGCAGTTTTGAGAATCTACAAGCATTCTATTATGATAATCTCGCTCTCCAGTCCCTGACCCGTCACCACTGCTGTTGTAGTAAGCGTACTTGCTACTAATTACAGAAGATCGAGCCAGGACGAAGGCCTCTGTCCACTGCTCTGTTTCGAAGCTAAACGCGTACCTCTCCAGAGCATCAGGGTGTGGTGCAGCTGAGGGGCTGATGAGGGCTGGAACGGAGGTCTTAGGAATGAAGAGAAATTGAGCTCCACGCAAGGCTTAGGTTGCTGGAGGTAAGGTTTCAGCAGGTTGCGGGGGTTTTCATTCAGGGCTATACGCCTGGTCAGGAATAGCTTTGAGATTTTGGGCTGTCCTACGTACTGTTTGTGAACTTTCGCCGTTTTGCTCATGTTCAGGATGGCAATCATCCTCGCAACTCGATAATCTGTAGATCCTTCATCTTCAAACTTCCACTGCACCCTTGAGTATCTGGTTTAGGCTTAGAGTCCCCAAGATTTAGAGCCGCATCTTCGGCCTGGGGCTCACGATGCCCGTCCAAATCTTCACCACCTCTCTGAATCTTTGAACAAGCATAACTAGGGGGTTCGTAGATTCGTAGGCTCAGTCTTATGAAATAACAGAATTAATTTCCATGGCACAATGGTTATCCTTCTCCTTAAGAAGCTCCAAGTAGGGCTGCCCCGCCCTCCCAAAGAGGTGGTGAGGCACAGGTCGTTCCGAGCACTGCCAGTGCTCCCTCCGAAGAGGTACATGGAGTCGCCGCAGATCACGGCCTTAGCACAGGTGCTTCATGGTCTCTCCAAGCGCACACCCCGAATATGCACTCACCAAAGCCTAGAACAACATCCTAGCTTATCCAGGATGAAGAGGCTCTGACAGCTCGTAGGAACATTGGAAAATCCGGCTTGGACTGATGCGGGTGGGTTTCAGGGAGGCTGTGCCAAGACTACTTGGCGAAGCCGACTGGCTTTGAAGACCTTGCTCATCCATACCGTCAGTTCGCATGACCCACGAGACCCCAAAACTCTTGCTAGCCAAACCCACACTATGATCCCCGAAACTTCACCGTGAGCCCCCATCCCTGAGCCACGTTCGCCGTGCATTGCCTTCTCAAGTGCTGAAGCCCTTTGCCCACAGACTCGATCTCCATGCACTCACCCAACAGCTTAGGCCTGCTTTGGAATCCGTGAGTGGATGACAGGTACTCCTGAGCAGTGCAGACTACTGTGAAACATGCAGGCACCCGTCCCACTTTCCACGAACATCCGCGGATCTTTCTTTCGAAGCTCCAAGACTTTGACCTTCAATCCCAAGCTCCGAACTCTTGAACAGCAGCCCTCAAAGCTTTCAAATGTCAAGCCCTCACCTCGCTCTTCAGCCAATTTGCGGAGTGCGAGTCTCGTGGCGAAGGCGGTGGTACCTGCCCCGTCGTCTCTACCAAGCTCCACCTCAGCGACTGTTCCTTTGGTTTGTGCTGCAGGGTTTCAGGTTTAAACTTTGCTTCTTCAGGCTTTTGAAGCTTGAGTTTGGCTGAGGCTTCGGCTTAGGCTTCGAGTTCAGTACAAAGGGTCCAGGGAAACAACAAAGGGCAGTGATTCGGATCTCTGGAAAGTGTCAACCCTCTGGGTGCGGCTTGTTGATTCGGGTTGATGTCTTTCAGTTTATAAGGCTGCACACGATGTCGAGTTTGGGGGCGTGAGCATTCAGAACCTGCACGTTTTAGTGGAATTCTTTCAAACATGTACATGCTTGGTGGAGATGCTTAGGAATGAAGCCTGTTGTCAGCTGTAAAACTGAATGGAGAAGAGAGACCACAAAGATGGGCCCACTCAGCACGGCAACACAAAGAGTTAGACTAAGCATCATGGAAGATGCCAGACGGTTGAGTGAGATCCAATTTTCAGGTTTATCTGGATGGGCTGGGGTGAGTTGGGTAGCTTTGCAACAGAAGTGAGGTAATGGTGTTATAGGCCCACAACCTCCATGCGTCTGACTTGGCAAGCCTTTCCAGAGCGCAAGAGATCCCAAATAACCAGGCTGCAGGTCCAATGCCCCTAAGTCCAGTTTGCAGCATCCGCACCTTCTTTTCTGCAAGACAGCGCCAGAAAATGACCGAGGTCTTTGGACGTAGGTTGGATGTTGAACCCAATTTCAGGCCCACTTAACGGATCCGAAAAGACAAATTCTGATTATAATCACTATGTTTGGAGGGCAGCATCCAACATACGATGTGGCGGAGCACATTAATTCTGTGCAAAAATGCAATCAAGGAATGCCAGTCTGGATCGCTTCTTTGTCAGCCTATTTACTGAAGGTTTCCTGCGTCACCCTTTCCAGGAGGCACGTGCATTAGTTGATACAGGACAAGTGGAGCCATAGGCTAGGATGATACAAAAGCATCCTTTCTTTTCGGCTTCTTTGGGAGTACGCCGAGTAAAGACATTCATGACCTCCTGCGTCTATGCAGCAGGCAGCTCAAGCGTATCAGAGTAGCCACCTCGCCGCAAGAAGGCCTGAGAGCATTTATGACTTTCGTTGTCGCGATTACGGCGTAGATGCAAACTATGCGCCATCATCATCTCCAGACCCTGACCCCGCACCCTGAACTGAACGGCAACTTCTGCAGTACCTGAAAACATGACAGGGACTCATGCTTTGGAAGATAGCTGCTGAACACCTGTAGGCAACACCACTGCTTACCCTAGGGTCATGCAGGAGCTCAAGTGTCCACCGTAAGATTCTAGTTCTCTGCTGCACTCTTGTTCGCACCAATCTTTTGACTGGTGCTTTTGTCCGCCCGTGGGCATTATCTGTTCTTGTACTTCTTCCTCTTCTGTTTGCCTTCATCATTGCGCCGTGCTGCTTCTGGTAGAATATGATTTTGCGCATTTTTCATTGGTACCTTCTACCTTGGGACTTATGCTGCTGTAGAAATTGCATCAAGGTCATGCAAGATTTTTACTATCGACTGCGAAATGACAAAGACAAGGTGGACAGTATCTTCTCTTTAAATTTAATCGCCACTGTTGATGGACAAATTCCTGCATACATACACACACGTATTTACATATGTATGTATATATATATATGTGCACATATATGTATACAAATATATCTATATATATATACATACACACATATAGATTGACTTATCTGCGTACACGTAAATACATATATACATATATGTATATATATGTATATATACACATTCACACACAATGAGGGTCTGCAGGGCTTATTTGCTTTCAGTACCTGACGTCCTCCCTGTACTGCTACCTGCTTAGAGCATAATCCTTGATAGGGAAGGCCTGCCTGGGCATCAACTTCGCCAGCGGCCCAGTACTTCATCATGCGCGAGGACGAGAACATGAACGTGCAGTCCTGGGGCTCTGATGGTGTGGCTTTGTGTGTACTCTGCTGTTGCGCTTTTTCTTGCTGCTCCTCCTACTCCCCCTCTGCTGCTGCTACCGCTGACCCTGCCATGGATAGTGATACTGCGAAGCACAACACTAACGCCCGCAACATGATGAGCTCTTTGGCTGTTATTTGAACTTCTCCACTGCTGACTCTGCAATGACCTACTTCAACGCTTCATATTCTGTGAAGCTCATGCTTCAGTTTTGACACACCTGGTTCTTCGCCGACTGTTCCGGATCAATTCAATAGGGCATGCCTCAACGCAGGGCTCCCCCTGGTACCACACAAGGCACTCAGATGATGAAGAGGATGACCCCGTTGCAGTTGTTGCTAGCCATGACAGGGGTTACAAATTGCATCAGCACTGATGGGGCAGGATGGCAGAAAGAACAACACAAGCACAAAAGCACCTTACAAAGTCCAACTTTTCAAACTGAAGAGTGATGATGGATGATCGCGCCCTTGCTCACAATGCTGTCAGGGTTCCCAGACGGCGACCGCAGATTGTGTGCCTAAGTGCCAGCCGCGGGCGCCCACAGTGCAGGGCAGCGACCAGCGCCCTGAAATGGAGTGGGTTGCGAGGCAAAGAGGTGCAGATCGTGTGTGGCAGAATGCATGGTATCCCATATGGCAATATTCTACTACTAACATAAAGGTGGTGCACAAGACCGATGATGAACAAAGTATCCCGCAAACATCGTAGCGACATAGCAGCAACGGAGGAAATGCAGCAGCGACAAGATCATCAACTATCAGCGGGACTTTTCAAACAATCGTGACCAATCAGAGCAGCAGCAGAAAGAAGTATCAAGGTGGAGACATTGGTACGTTGTCGATAGTATGAGCCAGCAGGAATGTGGCAAGTTGCCGCCCTGATTTTGGGTTTGGGCTACAGAGGGAGGTTGGTGCTGAAGCTTTGCAACGTGTCTTCTCTAAGAACCACAGAAAGCAAGAACCAGGATGAAAAGACCGACTTCAAACTTCTGCAGACCTCCGCATCAAGTACTCGCTAGAGTATTGGCCGTAAGAAGTGTTTACGAGTGCGAGACCCGAGCTCAAAACTCAAAACACCAGGACTGGATGTGCCAAAGGTCCTGGCTCCGGGCAGATGTTCACAGATTTGGCGCTCACCTTGAAGCAGGCAAGCAGCGTCAGCATTCAAAGGCCTGCCCGTCTACTGTTCGATGAGAACAGAACCGGTTGCCAGACCCAACTGGATTCGGTCTCCGGCTAAGTAAGGGAGGTTCCGAGTTGCGATGGATTTCTTAACTTTTGTCTTGCCGCCTACATAGGCTACGAGGCACCACTTCAACACAGGGTAATGAAGTTGTATAGTCAAAGTGCAGGGCTCCCCATATGTCTCAATCTGGGGCTCTCACACAGACCGCGCTCCTCATCTTACGAGTAATAGAGCCCCAGAAGCAAAAGCCTCCTCAAACGGAGTCTGTAGAGACAAGCAAGCGCATCCATCCATCCATCCATTCATCCGTTTCCGGGACCCCTATCCTTTCAGAATTGTAGCGGTATCCCACTCATGCTCGTGCAGATTCCCAGCAAACACTTCGTCTCGCTTTTCCAAGCCGCAACACGCAAGAAACAGCTTCTTGCGAGAACACGCAAGGAACCTTTTTTCAAAACACGAAAATACCCATGGACCCGCATACTGCTGAGAAAAAAGCACACGCTGCTTGTAATCCACGGTCATTGTTTCGCATTAGGACACTGAATGTTTGCCCCGGGATTCTGAAGCAAATGCCGCGCAAGCAAACGTTGCCTTAAAACCAGAACTTGCGCCGTCTATGTTTGGAAGATCCTATCACCAAGCTGATGCATCACCCTGCTCTGCCACCCCCAAGCTAATTAATGGGCGGATGACCGGAGCCACACTTACGGTCGGAAGGTCAGCTGCGGAAGGGAGGGGCTCGGTGATGCCGCCATCCTTGCTTCGGTTTAAGGTTCAAGGGTGTATAGGAGCCGCGCGCTCAAGTATGCTGACAGTGGAGGGACTGTCCCCTGGATCTCCGGAACCCCTCTCCGACTATGAATTTCCTGCTTTTCCGCAGCTTAACAAGGTCATGGTGAGGTCTACTACAACCAATGTGGTTTTTGGCCTTGAACGTCAAACCCTACCCTACCCCAAAGCCGTCCAGACTATGGCGCATGTTCAGAAATCGGAAAGCCAAGAAGAAGTTCAATGTGTGAGACTTGGCGCCTTTGTGTCAAAGCCTCAGGCGTAAGCTGTCATGCTTGACACGCGATGCCACAACCAAGCCCTCAGCCCAAGCACCAGCTGGCACCAAACCTTGCTATATGCAAAACCAAGGTTCCCAATGAGGCTCTCCAAAGACGTCAACACCTCTGGATGCTATTCAACTTAAGAAGCTTAAGCCCGAGCAGGCAGTTGCGTGGCGGAATGCTCTTATTCCTAAGCACTCAACTGATCCCAGACAACAAGCACCAATCTCGACCCCTCATCTAGACCATGAAGCCCAGACTGAACCGTCAGCTGTCTTGTTTGGCACTGCCTTCGAACGCGAAGCTGGAAGAGGCCTCGCCAGCGCCAGTTGCAGGAAAACATTGTAAACAAGATGACTGAGGTGCACCATGCCCACCCACCGGACCAACAATTCGCTGTTAGGTTCTAAGCACAAAGTGGTCAAGGGTTCGGGCTTGCATAATCTTGGCTTCAGGACTTGGAGGTTAACCTTCCAAGGTTTTGCACCGCGGGCGTTTAGGTATCCTCTTGTTACTCTCATTGAAGCAGCACAAGGCTTTGCTGCAACAATGGCTGCTGTACTTGCTGCGGAAATAACTCTAGGTTTGCGGTCGCGGAAGTGCTGGGTTTCATCCAACACTCATGATAGTGCTGACAGTTGAACAGCATTAAAAGGACTGTGTTGGTCGCAACTCTTACAGAGTCACACACGTAGCTGCGGTGGTCATAGTCGCGATCAAGCAGAAAAAGAGGAAGCTTCATTTGACCTTTGTGCGAACCATGTTGCATTTTCGTTGCAATTTCGGGCCGCTTCTC